AACTACAAGTGGTAGAAGTGGTAGAGAGAAAGCAGCAGTAACGTCACAAGTGGTAGAAGTGGGGGAGAGAAAGTGGCAATAGTGGGAGGGGGAAGTTGGCAGGGATAAATCTATTGAGGAAGAGCAATTTTATTAACAGAACACCATATCACAATTCTATAGTAAGGCCACAAATCAATTATAAGGTTACACCTGCATGATTACAAAGTAGTACAGAAAGTTTCTTAGGCAGTTCCATGAGAAATGAGGGAGTCTCTCAAGCATGGGCCCGAGTTAGAACAACATGTTTGTGAGGCTTTCAAGTATGGTCATCTGGTTAATCTCAAACCAGGTCAGCCTTGATGTCTGGAAAACAGCTTTGCCAGGAATCAGGTCTTGCTATTTCCTGGGGTGGGGGCCTACGGCTTTCCACAAGTATTAGCTATTCATGCAGTTTTTCCAGCTACCAGATAGTTTGTAAATGCTAGTGGTGACAGATTCATTTATGTTACACTCTTTCTTTTCTGCTTACATCTTTGATTTCTTAGTTCTTATTCAATTAACACAGAAGATCACTGAGTTAGGAATCACATTTACTAAGCCATATATTTGTATAATCTATGAATTCTTTAATACAATAAATATTTTCTTATTTCAAGAATGAATAAGAATTATTATAAATTTCATGAAGTCACTACTAATAATTATATTTGCAGATAATTTGAACACTGGAATAAAAATATACCAAAGGACATATGGAAAAAAGGAACAATGTAACTGAATTTGTCCTCTTGGGTCTCACTCAGAGTCCTGAAGGCAAGAAAATATTATTTGTTGTGTTCTTGGTCATCTATATTGTGACAATGGCAGGCAATCTACTCATTGTTGTGACTCTTGTGGTCAGTCCAATCTTAGATGCTCCTATGTACTTCTTTCTTGGGTACTTATCATTTATGGACTGCAGTTATTCAACTGCAGTTACCGCAAATATGTTCATAGACTTACTCTATGAGAAGAAAACCATTTCCTTCCAGGCATGCATGATCCAGCTATTTTTAGAACACTTATTTGGAGGTGCTGATATTTTATTCCTGGTTTTCATGGCCTATGACCGCTATGTGGCCATCTGCAAACCCCTCCATTATCTGACCATCATGAACAAACGGATGTGTGTTGTGCTGCTCTTGTTGGCCTGGGTTGGGGGTTTTGTGCATGCTGTAGTCCAAGTTCTCTTTGTTTACAACCTTCCTTTCTGTGGCCCCAATGTCATTGACCACTTCATCTGTGACATGTATCCCTTATTAAAACTTGCCTGCACAGACACATATGTTATTGGTCTCACAGTAGTGGCCAATGATGGGGCCATATGTGTGGTCATTTTTATACTCTTGCTGATCTCCTATGGGATAATTCTACATTCTCTGAATAATCTTAGTCAAGAAGGGAGGCATAAAGCTTGATCTACCTGTGGCTCCCACATCACTGTGGTGGTCCTCTTCTTTGTTCCTTGTATTTTCATGTATGTGAGACCTCCTTCTACTTTGCTGATTGATAAATCCTTGACTGTGTTTTACACTGTTATCACTCCTATGCTGAATCCTCTCATCTATACTCTGAGAAATGCAGAGATGAAAACTGCAATGAAGAAGGTATGGATTAGGAAAAGAAAATGAAGTAGGGAAGAATGGGTCATAAAAATTATGATATAAATTTACTCCCATATAAAATAGAGAAATCCATTCCTTTCAGGAAAGCCAAATAATTATTTGATTATACTGAGTTTCCCTTGAAAGTTGCAACCATGTACAATGAAAACATTAATTATGTGCATTTTTCCTGATGATTGTCAGATTTTTATGAGTTCCACATTGTGTAAAAAAATTAAGTTTTCAGAACAAAATGATTCAGCAGAGACTTAAGATGTATGTGCCATAATCAGTATTATAAATTTATTTTACTTAATGTAAAAATCTCTCAGGTTGCTTAAATAAAGTTGCTTTTTAGAACTTTTAACGGCTACTACCAATTTTGAAGAAAAAAGTAAGAAATAATATGTAAATCTTTGATTTGTTCCTTACATGCCACTCTTTTATATCATACCAGTATTTGAAATATATATTTTATTTTCACCAGTATTTGAAATACGTATTTTATTTTCATGTATTTAAGGTATACAACATTGTTCATATTTCTTAGTATATTTAGAGTTGAGAGGGTATATTTACAAAAATGAGGGGCATGGGACTGGAGAGATGGCTCAGTGGTTAAGAACACTGGTTGTTCTTGCCAAAGACCCAGGTTCAAATCCCAGCACCCACATGGCAGCTAACAACTGTCTGTAACTCCAGTTCCAGGGGATTTGACAGCCTCTTCTGTCCTCCGTGGGCATTGCATGACATGGGTGCACTTACCTACAGGCAGGCAATACACGCAGACACACAAAATAAAAATAAATAAATAAAATATCTTTAGAAAAGAGGGCATAAAAATGTATATATACAAAGAATATGTATGAGCAAAGGAGATGTGTATGAAATAACTAAACATCATTTTTACAGCTGGAAAATAATGTGAACCACTCAAGTAGGAGGTAGGAATTGGCTAGGCAGTTAGGGTAAAAAGACGCCAAAGAAAAGTAGCCAGTTTCTTGGCTAAAAGTCAAAATGTCCTTGGGCCTCTTAGCAGCAAACTTTGTTCCAAAGGTCAAAAATGTCAAAAGTATTTGGGAGCTCTTATCTAATCCCTAAAAGATTTTATGGTTACCTCTTCAGAGGGGGGGAATGTTAGAGTAGGAAAAAGCCCCATTAAGAAAGAAAGAAAGAAAGAAAGAAAGAAAGAAAGAAA